GCACCCTACCATATAGGGAGCCGGGCGTCCGTCCACACAGGAAGTGCGTCACCGGAAGCTGGCCGCTTGTAGTTCTGCGGGCTCGGGGCGGCGGAGACGTATTGCGCAAGCGCAGTGTTGATCTCCCAGCTTGTGTCGCCAAAGCACAGCGATCGCACTTGTGCGGGTAGAGGAAAGAAGCGCCGATCAGGACGTTTTTACAGTAGCGCGTCGGCTGGATTATTGCATGAGCACAGCAGGGTAGTCTTCTCGGGCCGTGCGAGTCTTCTCGGGAGCGATCGTGGGAGCTTTCTTTCGTGGAGTGCGCGGGGAGCATGGCGATGGCGGACGAGGGCCGGTACTATAGCGGTAAGTGATGGAGCTTCTCCCTGTCCAGCTCAGCCAAAATGGAGACCCGCGTCCTCCAGCTGGGGAGGCGAGGGCAGACTGCGGGCCGCCGAGATCTCAGGAAGGCGCCCTTCGTGACGCGCGGTGCGGGTTTGTTCTCGTCCTTTCGCGGATCGCGGCTCCGGTCCAGTCCGGTGCCGTGACGCGCTTTCAGCGGGAGGGCCAGTGTCGCAGGGCGCCTGTGCGTGCGTCTGTCTTCGTCCCCGTCCTCGCCTCGCAGTCGTGACGCCGACCCCGAGACCAGGAGACGGGCTGGGGAGAGCAGGTCGTTCCCGGGGCAGAGGGGACCCCCGCTCCGGCTGCTGTTCCCCTGTAGCTGCCCGGTGGTCGCACGGACCCCCGGTGGCGCAGAACAGCGGTCAGGCTGAAGTGTCGCCCCAGCCCCTCCGGTCCTGCGCGCTGCCGAGAGGACCCCAGGCTCCCGGCTCGGGATCGCTGCCGACCCCTCTCACCCTGGCCGTCCTGTCTTTCCAGTCTCCCATCAGGGAAAGATTAGGTCAGGTGGCACCAGGAGCACAAGGCAGACTCTCATTAATCACCTGCATTGACCACTGGACATTACTTTAACTGTGTTATCAAAATTGAATATTGATTATTTAGTTTACAGCCATAGTATTATGTGCAATAATAATGTTATCTGTATGTGGGTATTTATTATGGACAGTTTATTTATCATTTACAAGTATATATGTGTGGGATTATCACGTAGGGAGAGTTCTGACACCTTCTTGAAGTGCAATATATATTTTTTCTTTAATTTCTGAAATGTATGTCGTGTTTTATGTGTCTAGTATATGTGGCGTGTTTGTATGTATACAGTGTATGAACAACTCACCAAGTCAAATTCTTTGTAAGTGAACACTTACTTGGCCAATAAAGAGATCTTTTGATTCACCGATACTGTAGCACATCCATTAGTTATCCTGCTCCCAGAATGTGCAGGCGCTCGGGGCTGATCCAGTGACAGTGTATCACAGTGTCCACGGACAGCGCTGTTTCAGAGGGACAGGAGCTGCAGCAGTGTGAAGTCAACAAGCCGAAGGCCTGTGTGAAGTCAGTGTGCGAGTGTGAAGCACACTCCCTGCTTTAGAACATTTTCATACAGTAAAACCACTCGGATTCACACCCTTAGAATCGTGCACCACAGGGCGCTCATCCAGAGACTGGGACTGGACTGGACTGGACTGGGGTGCCCCCAGAGTGCTCGTCCTGTGTGATAGGGACTGGGACTGGACTGGAGTGCCCCCAGAGCACTCGTCCTGTGTGATAGAGACTGGGACTGGACTGGACTGGAGTGCCCCCAGAGCACTCGTCCTGTGTGATAGAGACTGGGACTGGACTGGACTGGAGTGCCCCCAGAGCGCT